GGAGACGGTGGCATGAAACTGACGACCGCTCTTTGCAACGAGCGCACCTCTGCGTTTTTCACGCCTGCAGACCTTGCCCTGTCGGTGCGCACTGGGTGCACACGGCGACCCTGCCCAAAGAGCGTGTTCTGTCGCCGCCGCCAGGCCGTTCCGGCTGCGCCTGAGATGGTATCAGGGAGAAAGTGACTTTCGACCGCTGGCCTTGGTGGACACCATTCGCATTCAACAGTATGACGGTGCACTGACGTTGAGTTGGTGGATTATCATGAGCAAGATTCGGCTCGCTTTCCGGCACGGCAGAAGCAGGAAGGTGATTTCCTTCGGGTGATTTTCTTGCTTTTCTCATCATTTGCCTCTTTTCCATTTACCTGGCCCTTGGGCCGTGCTTTATTTCTTTTGCTGCCTTCGTTTCGCTTCAACACTCACTGCGTGTCTGCAGGACGCTGGTTGCAATCTGCACTTTGACATCTCCGACGAGGTCCCCATGGTTGCAAATGTGTCAAGGATGAACGCGCTCGCCTGGCGGTGCGTAAGTATGCCGGGGTCTTCGTGGTGATTCTACCTTGTGGTCTAGTGGTGACTGTTCACCATCTCATTGGAGCGGAAAGCTTCCCCCAGGTGGCTTTGGCTTTCGCGGCTGCGCTACAACTTCTGCCCGGCAAGCGTTTCCTTTGCTACGACAACGCTTGTGCCTTGGCGCGGTATTGCCGGAGCCCGTTTCGCTCTGATGCGACCCACATGCATCGCAGGCTGCGTGATTGCTGTTTCGTTCTACCTGGCTCACACGTCGTGCGCAACCACACTGCCTGCAGAGAGCCAACCAATGCACAGTATCATTTGCCGGAAGTCTTGAAGGAGAACCATCCTGAGCTCCAAGGCGTCAACTTTGAGGCACAAGAGCAGATTTTCTCTTGGGTTCGCTGGTTGGTGCACGTTGCGAACCCTATGACTCCCGCAAAACATCGTGCTTTCTTTCAGTTGCTCGTTCTGGAACGCAATCGGCGTCTCGGTCTTCCCCGGCCTCGTCGTGCGCGTCCGCGCTTTCGCATTTGGCGGGGTGCTGCGCGCGCCGTCGTGCCTGCGCAGCCAGCTCCTGCAGTGGGATGCTTGGACGATTTCCTCTCTGCCGATGCTAGGCGTCTGGAAGCCTCGCGCATTGCTCCCGTGCATTCCGGCGGCGGCGCTGCAGCTGCAGCAGCTGCAGAAGCTCCTCAACCTTTTGTGGTGAATCTTGGGACGCGCCGCGTTCACCGGGTGAGCGGGGTTCGTGCTTGGGCATGCGGCTCCGCCTTTCCGACGCGTTGCCGCTTCGTTGCAGACTATTTGCAGGAGCGCAACATCCGGTTGTGCTTACAGCGTGGTTGCTTTTGAAAAAGTAACTCTGCCGATGTTCTCTGTGTCGCGATGCCGTCGGTTCACCCCGTCTTCGCTCAATCTAGGGTTGGTTTCTCACTGTGTTTTCTTGGCCTTCTTGTTTCAGCTCATGCCTTCACTGCAGCATTTGCAGCAATCACGCGCGTTGAAGTTTAAAGCGATTTGCTGCCATGACATTCACCGTGTATACATGCGCCCCAACCTGTTTGTTTTTCCAACTTTTCTTTTCTCTTTGCCTGCCTTCTGTTGCAGGTACCTGCCTGGTGCTGGCTGTTTGCTTTCAGCTCCTTTTGGGGATGAATCTGCGGCGGCCTGGGCGTCCACGTCGTCGACAGAAGGCATGCGCTGCGCAGCGCCGGCGGCGGGCAGTGCGCCCCATGCTATGGGACGTGAGCCTGGTCCTGAAGCTCGTTGCGTCTGCCGTGGTTGCCTACACAGACCTCGAGCTTACGGTTGCGTCCTCTGCTTGCAGCTGCTGTGTTTGGCAGGCGGTCTGGGCGTTTTCCTGGCCCTCCTCGCCCTGTCGCTGTTTCCCCGACTGCTCCTTCGCTGTCGTCGAGATCGGCTTCGTCCTGCCTGCTGCCCCGGCCTCGTTTGGCCGGGTATTTTTTTCCCTCACTGGCTCACATGGATTGCTGCGTCCTCCGTCCTCAGGTGCACCACGTGTCTGCTCCGCCGGTCTTTCCTGCTGATGAGGACTGTGTCGCGTTGCGCCCTTAGTTCTTGAGCTCTGTTTCACTTGCAGTTGTCTAACATTGGCTGTTCCAGGTCCTTGGCCCTGCCTTCGTCGGCGACATGGGTGCATCCTACACTGTGCACTCCCGACGATGACGACTTCGAGCTGTTGTTGGTGGAATGCATTCGTTTAAGATGGTCTTGCCCTCAGTCAGTCGGTCTGACGCCGTTTTGTTTCTGCTTCTTGTTTTGCACTTTTCTCCTGCCAGCCAGTTCGCCCTCTCTTCCTTTCAACCTTGCAGGACGGCTTCCTCTTCTTTGGGATCGTTCTGGACCTCCTTGCAGGTCCTGACCGACCTGCCGCATTCGCACTTTTTGGCGCTGCTGCTTCACATGTGTCGCCGATCGCCTGACCTGGCTGAGTTTGGGCTCTATGGACGTGCTGCGGCGCGTGTGTTGCCAAACCTGGCCAAGGCGGTTCTGACTGAGGTTGGAGCGTGCTTGCCGCCGGACACCTACCTTCTGGATTCTCGCGGCGGGGACGTGGTTTTGACTCCGGCCACTTCGCACGCTCGCTGGCCGCCGCCAAATGTCGTGCGATGCTTGGCCGTCGCTGGCGACGACATGTGGGGCACCGTGGACGTGTTCCGATGCTTTCAGCCTACGGTACCGACTTGTCACAGTGCAGACGAGATGCATTAGTGGTTGCAACGCATTATGTGAGAGCATCAGAACTCATTTTTCTCCGTGTGCTGTGTTCTTGTTCTGTTTTAGGCCCCCTCCCAGTGTGTGTGTGTGTGTGTAGGGATGTTGCGCTTACTTTTTGCCTGTCACCTACCACCTGGACTTTAGCATCACTTCAACGGCCCTTTTTTCGGGCTTTTGTTTTTCGATTTTGGTTTTGCGTTTTTTTTCTGGTGGCAGTATCTTTCCTGCCCAGTTTGCGCTTTGCAGGATGCCTTTAGCTCCTTTGTCAGGATGCCTTTGGCTCCTTAATGCGTCCGTTCTCCTTACAGGCTAGGCTGCTCGCCAATAGTCTTAGCGCGTGTTGTCCTCGAATCGTGGGTGTCCAGCTGGGTGGCGTTAGCTCTTGATGGCTGTCTGTTCGAACGGTTGACTCACGCTACGGCTTCGTGGCCGGTGCAGTCGCGTGAATGCGGCGCTGGTTTCGTGGCGCGGGGGGGGGGGGGGGGGGGGGGCGCAGCTGGGGCGCATTAGCTTCGTAAATTCCAGCAGACACGATAGAAACCGCCGAGCATCTACGCACTGCGGACACTTGGCGCCCGCTGCTTGGATAGTCGTGTGCTCTGTGGGTTCGGCTCACGGTTCTCTATTAATCGCACCTGTCGGTTGGATTTTCATTTGCTCTGCGGGTTCGGCCGGCTCACTGTTCCGTGCTTCTTGTAGCTAGTGGTGACTGCGGTCTTAGTCGTTGTTGTGCAAACGCGGGTTCTTTGCACATGTTGCTCGGATTGTGGCTTGCTCTGTGGGTTCGGCTTGCTGTTCCTGGCTTGTTGTGGGCGGCGGTGATTGCGGGCTTCGTTGGTGTTGTGCCTTTGGTTTCTCGAGCCGGCCACACACGCATTCACTTGGCAGGATGCCTTCAGGCTCCTTTTGTAGCTCTTCTGTTGCTTCTTGCACGGCGGTGCTGCAGGATGCCTCTGGCTCCTTGTTCCGAGTGCTTGCGTGCTGTCGCACCTGAGGCGTCCGACGAGTGTAGATGTTGCAGGATGCCTCTAGGCTCCTTGTCCTCTGATGGCTCCTCGCTGTTGCGCTCGCTTTCTTACGTTCTTTCTTTTTCCCCTTTTTCCGGCTTCCTGTCTTCTTTTCTTCCTGTGCCCGGCTATTGTTTCCTATCCCGCTTCGCTACTGCTCCTGAGGTGCGAAGTCTCTCCAGCCATGACGTTCCTGCATTCCTTGCGCGCCTTGCTACACATGCAGTTGCGCAGCTTCCTCCGGTGCATTGCCTCCTCGGAGGCGTGGCTCACATGGAGCTACGCTGCATTTCCTTCTTTGGCTTCTGCAGCCGTGGCTTTCAATGTCGCTGATATTACAGTTTTGATGTCGCTGTTTCGCTCCGTGCTACCTGATGGTGTCTTGGTCTTGGACACTCTCTCGGTGATTTTCTGGACATGCCGTGGGACCTCGTGGATGCCAGAAACAATGTGCTCCATACAACGCGTTCGCTGTATTTGCAGTGCAACGTTGATGGCGCTTGGAGCCTGCGTTTGCGAGTCACGCGTTCCCTTGCACCAGCATGGCCTAGATGTCTTGCTGTGGAGGATTGCGCTGTCTCCTTTTCGGAGCGCCCTGCGTGGGAAGGTCATGGCGCTTGCAGTTGCTTCTTTGCTGCGTTGCGCTTGCCCTGGTGCATTCTCCTCTCCAACCCTGCGTTGCAAGGCCTGGCTGCTGCTGGCGCTTGGGTTTCTGGCGTCGATTTGGCGTGGGCGTCCCTCCTCTTGCAGCATTTCTTGCCACATGGCTTCTTGGTTTGGCGCTCGGAGGGGATTCTCACCACCGCGGAGTTCTTTGCCTTCTGAGTGATTGTTCAGTCCAGACGCAGACCTCTTGGAGGCCCCTGCGCTGCGGGATTTCGCCCCGGACTTTTATTATTTTACTAGGTCATTGGGTGGTGAGACTGTTTGTTGATCTACCCGGATAAGTTTCGTTTCGCTTCCGCGCTGCTATTGTTACCTCCGTGGCAGGTTATCTATTATGACCACGAAGCTCAGCACTATGCTCCTGCGATGCTGTCTTGTAGCTACGGTGCAGCTACCGTCACCTTGGGGACTTGGTCACCTGAGGCTTGCTCTCCGAGTTTACGTCGCTGCTTTCAATTCCCCGCAGTTCGGATGGACGACCTCCTCGTCCACGAGGTCAGGTCGTGTTCACCGAAGAGATGATCCTACAGGCGTTTGCCCAGGCCGAAGAGGTTGCCTTTCGGTGAAGTCATGGCTCACTGTCAACTTGTGGCGGACGCCCTCTCTGTGCCCTGCAGTTGGGTACTGCTTGCCGAGGTGTGTACGGCAGCTTTTCTCGCGCCAACATCTGTGCTCTTTCCCACCAGGACCCTGCCGCTCTACAGCATGCCTGGGGCACTCATCTTGCACCCCGGGGCTACGCAGACCAGTGGACTGATGTCCACCTATGCGAAGGTGTTGCGGCAGATCGAGATTTGGCAGCGTGAACACGCGCTACAACAACACCATGCTCGTGCAAACGTGCCGCCGGAGCCTGCTGGGCAGACAGAAGACAATGCTCCGCCTGAGAGTAAGAAGCCTCGAATAGCGGCTCCTGCTGTCATGCACATGGGCTTCACCAGTGGCAGTGTGGATGGCGTGGTGGGACGTTTGGCCGAACCACAAACCTCTCCCGAGCAGCAGCTTTCTTGTCTGAAGCTCAAGTCTTCCTGACCTGGATTGCCGAGCAATCGGCCGCAAACCAAGGCCTTATGACGCAACTGACGGACCGCCTCGTGTGGGACAAGGTGACTGTGAAGGATCGCGCGACAGTCTTGGTGGATGCCCCCTTCATTGGCATTTGCGGCGCAGCCCACATGCAAGAGTTGATGAACGCTTTGGGCGAGGCTGACCCGTTGGGTCTGCGTGAGAGGCTCTTGGTCATGTATGAACGGCCGTGCTTTGTGCGGTCGACGCAGCTGATAGAGGCCTGTGACCGCACCCCTGCGCCGACACTGCACTCCCACTTGGCCAAGACCTTCTGGCCTATCCATTGTGCACACCACCCTGGTCACAAACTGGCAACCTTCGTGAAGGATTTAAATTACTCCTGGCTTCATCATCGCTTCACACCGGAGGCAGCCATGTCATTTTGGAGTAACTTCGATGACCATGCCGGCCAGCAAGAAGAAAACTATCGCCTGGATCAGCAAGCTGCCAAACGCGCTGGCAAAGGCAAGACGCGACATTACCGATTGGCCTTGCCCCTGCGCAACCTGATGCAAAGTGCTGCTGGGACCCCTCCGCAGCGGTGGTCCACCCCAAGCGCCGGCGGCTGCTGCGAAGGCCTCGGTGCTCCTGTCTGAGTACATGGATGCCATCTTTACCCGGCTCGATTTGCTTCGCGCCAGTCGTGACGCAGACAGCGCTTCCCCTCCAGCTGAGGCCCGCCTGCGAGTTCTCCACGTCTGGCGACGTGGCAAAGCGTGTTTTTGGAGACAGATGACCTGGGTGTTGTGTTTCCTCCTGCGGAACGAGCTGCGATCCTCGTCTTCTGCCAAGCCATTTGCATGTGCTTGAAGAACCCGGTGCTGCGGCAATCGGATGTTGGTCACCTGAAACCAATCATTGCTTTGAACTTGCCCGCCTCCTGCATCAGCCAGTACACAGTCAAAGCTTTCCGCCTCTTGGACATGCTCGACCTAGGCCAAGCGACGCTGTCCACCAATGTGGCAGGAGTCAAGTGCACCTTCTTCACGAACATCCCCGACGAGATGGTTGTCCACCCCATCGCGCAGAGCAGCCTGCGGTTCTTCAATTTGGGCACTCCCTTCTACACCCTCAGTGCGGCTGCAATTCGCCAAACGCGGAAGAAGAGCCAAGCTGAGATCGTGTGGAAGGATCTGGATGATGCCGTCGTGGCGGCTCGCATCACTGCCTTGTTGCACGCGCTTTGACAGTTTGCTGCGCGTCGAAAAATCAGCCTTCGCAGCCGACGGTGCGTGGTGTCTCTGGTTGTTGTGTGATCTGGCTCCCTTTTCTTTTTCTTTGCGTGTGTGTGTATGCGTGTGTTCTGTCATGGATACATGTTCGACTGGAGTGTATCACGCCCCTGCATCCTGCCTCGCAGCATGCCATTGAAGGGAAACGGATATGAAATCATGCCCCTGGCCACTTGCCCACAATCACTGGGAAACCGTTTTTCTAACCGTACCCCCCC